AAAATTAATAAGGGAGCCATCGTAAAATCTCCCCGGTCCCCTGGGAGCCCCAGGCCTGATCCCATAACCAGGTCTTGAGGGACTCACGGAATGTTAAGAGGGATGGAGCTAATCTCACTTCTGGGAGGAGAAGATTTCACAAGAAGGGCGCCACGGCAGAGAAGGCCCTCCTCCTGGGACCTGCCAAATGTAATTCTCTGGCAGACAGAACCCGCAGCATGCCTTCTCTGCCAGACCTGTTGGGACGGGCAGATGTAATCGGGGAGAGGCGGTCCCTCAGGTAACCTGGCCCCATCCCATGAAGGGCTTTAAAGGTCAAAAGCAGCACCTTGAATTGGACCCAGAAGCAAACTGGCAACCAGTGCAGCTCGCGAAGCAGAGGTGTAATGTCCCGCCCTAGGGGCACACACAACTGCCTGTGATGCTGCATTGTGCGCCAGCTGAAGCTTCTGGATACTCTTCAAGGGCAGCCCCATGTAGAGCGCATTACAGAAATCCAAACGGGAGGTGACCAGGGCATGAGTGACAGAGATTAGGTCCCTCTCATCTAGGAATGGGCGCAACTGGCGCACAACATGAAGCTGTGCAAAGGCCCTCCTAGCCACAACTGCCACCTGCTCTTTGAGCAAGAGTCATGAGTCCAGGAGGACCCCCAGATTGCGCACAGGGTCTGTCTGGGGCAGTGCCACCCCATTCAGTACCAAAGATGGCAGATTTTGTTTATGATGATAAGCTACAGGAGTAATTAAAAGTGGTTTAAAATTGTTCCCTGCATTATATTTTATAATTTGTTATGTGCTACTGAAGGGATAGGATTGGACCTCTTAATGATAGCAAAATGCAGTATAGCTTGGAAAAGAGAGGTAGTTAACAGGTTTCTGCCACCCCCGAGAAAATTATTTCCCCAAGGAGCCTCAGGAATTAACACAACTTGGTTTCCTAATGAACTTTGGCCTGCTAGCTGATTTTCCCTGGGCTCAGAAAGCAACAGCAAACCATGTGCATATTGCTGCCCAAGCCAAGACTTTACCTTTCTCATTTCTTTCAAGGATGCCTAGCTAAGGGCTGCAGCATCGACAGGACTTCAGTAGTTACCCAAAAAAGTTAGAAAGGCAAGCAAAGCCCACATCCATTGCAGAATGAATAGTGATTATGCTTTACTTGTGAGCAAACGGCAGGGTTTTTGAGCGCAAAGTTATGGACCTTTTGGAATTCCCCCCCACAGTTGTTTGTTGCTGGCTTGATAGTACTGCTGCTTGATGAGCTTCTGCAGAAAGGTTATGGCTTGGGATCCGGCATTTCTCTCTTCATTGCCACCAACATCTGTGAAACCATTGTCTGGAAGGCCTTTAGCCCTACTACCATTAACACTGGCAGAGGTATAGTACGTTTGCACAGCTGATGTTTTGACCAGTTGCATGCTTTATCAGCCTCTTGCAGAGAGCAACCATGGCCTAGGAGCTAGGAAGGGCCTTGGTGTGAAGACTTGGCCTATTGTCACAACACATGGTTGCTCTTTTTTTTTTTTTTGGTTTCCTTAATGCAGTGATAGTCTCTCCCTAATCAGCCACGGTGGAATGCCCTAGATCGGGTTTTTCAAACTGTGTTCTTGAAGACCCTATAGTTCCAGGAGAACTTGATAGGGTTCTGTGAGAGGCTAAGGTCAAAACAACCAAGTTCATTCAGACACAACCCATTTTGTATCACTAAAGCTTTGCCTCTTGATTCAAAAGTGCCAGGATTGTTTCCCCCCCCCCTCAAACTCGTTCCATAGCCTGAAAAAGTTTGAAAACCCCTGGTCTAGATCACTGTGTGTTGCAAGAAAGACAGGAATCTGGAGAATATGTTTGCCATCTTTACTCCAAATCTGGGCAGAATGTGGCAAGTACTTTTTCTGTACAGGAGGATTTGAGTGTAGGAGCCTTCCCCATTCCAGTTGGTTCTACATCTGTGGTTCCCAAACTGTCCTGTGGCGCCCCAGGGCACCATAGCGAACTCATAGGGGCACTGCGTGATAATACAGTGATACTCAACATCTGTCAGACATTGCATGAACTACAAACCTAGGAGTGTCATGAAAAAATTACTGAGACACTAAGGGTGCTGTGAACCAAGACATTTTGGGGACCTCTGTTCTGCATAAATCACGTCAATATATCTTATCAGTGCAGATTATTGCTAGAATGAAAGTTCTGGAGCTTCTCAGATTGCAACATGCATTCTAGAAGCCTGAGAGAATCCAGATAGGAAATCTGGGACTGTTCCTGGAATTACTGTCCCTCTCTTTGTCATGTTGCTCCAGAAGGAAATACTGTGGCACAGTGGACAATTATTACTTTAACAACAATAAACTCGCTGTAGGTGGATCATCTCAGATGCTGGATCAAAAGCATATCTGAAATCTTAACAGTAAAGAAATGTTAACTTTATTTAATATAGCTGAATTGTTGGGGCCAAAATTAGGAATTTTTTTTAAATCCAGAGGTGCACACCAGCTCCCAGTTGTGCCTAGATCAGTCCCGTTGGTCTCAGTGGAAACTCGGCAAACCTCAGGATAAGCTTGTCCAGTTCCTCTGGATTCTCTCTCTCTCTCAGCAGATTTCCCTTTCTCTGGTTTATAATATGTTTCTGGTTGCTGCTTCTACTGTGCCACACTATTTTCTTTTCTGTTTCTCTCTGTTTTTCTCTTCACGTGTTTGTTTCCAAAACTTCTGATAGCCAGAGTGTTTTTTTGTTGACAGAATGGAGGCATCCTTTACTTTGTTATTTCAAATGTTTAAGGATTGTTGTCAGCCCTTTGAGGTAGTCTGGACAGAAAACCAAAACCATGAGCACTAACACTACCTTATTGTAAGGTTACAGTAACAGAATCTAGCGAGTCTGAAAGCAATTCTCCCCTCCTTGGGCTTTACTTTCCAAGGAACCAGGGAGGGTCCCTTCTGTGGTGCTTTCCGCGCCCCCATTCCTTCGGTGGGCTGAGATCTCCACCTTTGCCATGGCTGCGGCTCTTCCTCCTCCTGTCTCTCAAGGATATTCCCACAGACAATTGTACAAGTAAAACATAACTCTGCTGGGGGGAGCCCACTTCCGATGAGTAGAGGGTGCCTCTTGATGCTGAGGAAGTGGGGGCAGAGTTAGGGCATTCACAGAGAAATATTCTGGAGATCTCTCTTGTGAACCCCTTCTGTTTCTCGGTGCTCACCCTGAAAATTTATCCGGTATCCTGGGAGAATGTGGATGAATGTACAGCTTCATGTACTCGTTATGAACGAGCACTTGGTTTTCCAAAAGCATGAAACCTTGCTTGGTAAGTCTTGAAAAGAGGGTAGTTCCTGTAAAAGCTGAACACGTTTCATTTCATTCATATACAGTCCTTGTCATTGAATAATTAAACACTCCATTAATTCCCTCAATTCCTTTTTCTGTGAGTTCCTTTTCCTTCTTGAATTCTGCATGAGTTCCGTTGGGCTGTTATTGCAGTGCTCGTACGCAGTGCATGTCAAAGTGACCTTACGTGTGGCTTTTGGTACATCTAGGTACAGAATTTGAGGGTGCTGTCATTGCCTTGTTCCACCTCTTGGCGACACGAACCGACAAAGTCCGTGCTCTGCGGGAGGCGTTTTACCGCCAGAATTTGCCAAATCTCATGAATCTGATTGCAACAGTGTTTGTGTTTGCTGTGGTCATATACTTTCAGGTAAGAGAAATCTGCAGTGTGCATTTTGCCATAGAACTGCTGTTTTATGACAGGAGGAAGTGCGATTAAACATTTTAGTCTGCCTAAGATCAGAGAATGCAATCGGTCTGGAGTTTTCTTTGAACTAGGAATGAGGCTCATGCTTTGAGAGAGTAGTCCCCATCCAAGTTCAGGTTCATGGCTAGAATTGGTTGCTTTCTAATATTTCAGTGTTATCTGAGCTAAACTCAGCTACATCATTTGCATGAAAGGTGTTTGCTCTTAGTTTTGTTAATAGAGTGCTGCGTCAAGCATCAAGCTGTTTTTAAACATTCGCTTTTAATTTCAGTATTCAAATCATTACATATGGGGAGTTGATCTTTAAGTGTGTGTGTTTGTTTTTTTGACATTCCAGCTTAGGGGTGGAGTAGGGGTTCAGCTTTTGTACCAAAGTGTCAAATATAAATGATTACAGCCTGTTTCTGCATTGTTTTAAATGCTGAAGCATTATGGCGCATTCTTAAATATGCTTAAAATTTTAATTCTTAAATCTTCTCTAAAAGAGCCATTTCCAAAGCCTGCATTTTCATGGAAGGGCAGAAATCCCAATGAGGTGATTGCTAACTGATGAACAGAACTGCATCCGTTTTAATCTGTCCAATCCAAAACATTGCCTCTTGTTAGAAAAGTTTTCTAACGCCAGCACTAGATTTTAAAAACTGATCCAGAGATGCTTGCACATAAAGGAATATTTTCATGCGTCTGACGTCTGCACCTGGATCACTTCTACAAAGAGCTTTTTAAAGTTTGAAAAATGTTAAGTAAGGCTAGTCAGCCCTTTGGCTTTGCACTTGGGAGCAGACACATAGCATCACTTGGCAACCCTTTGAAACAGCCATAATTTTTCCTGCAATCCCCAGGCAACCATGTGATCCCTGAAGAAGATGTGGCTGCCTTGAGGCACTGCACAGAAATACTACATTTACATTCCTGCATGCTCTTAAGTGCCTTTCAGATATTGAATCTAGTGCTGCGCAACCTTAGTTTTAGGCAAACTTAATTGATTTTTATTAAAACCCAGTTGTAATTCATGTTTAAAATGTAATACATTTATTAATTTATTAGAGATTGGCAGTTACTAAAATCATTGTGCGAATATAGTCCTAATATTAGTAATTTGGGAGAGAGGTGGAAAGAGAGATTGAGAAAAACTGCTTTATAACTGGGTTACACCCACACTTACCTCTAAATTAGCCTTTGTTTCAAGCAATGTAAGAAATGCTGTGAAACGGATAGTACGGATACCTTGAAGAAGAAATTTAAAGTCAGTTCTATAAGACATTGAGTAGACTAGAGTCTCTTCCAACTCCACGCTTTTGTGTTGATGATTATCAGCAAAGCCTTTGACAAGGATTGGCTGACCTTCTCTAGTAAAGGCGGGGGGAGGTGGGATAAACAGGAATCTTTGCTGTTGGCTGACTTACTTTCTAGATTATAGTAAAACTGGCAAATGGGAGGAAAAGAGAGGTAGACCTGTCTATCCAGAAAAACAAAGCACATCAGATCAAGCCAAAAGAAGCAGGAAGGTTTAAGGATAGTTGTCAGCTGAAATTACAAGTCATCTGGATAACTGAGGGGGAATGGTAGGTGGCTGGGGAAAGAGAAAAACTACTCAGGACTTCAGGTGTTTTTTTTCCTGGTTCTTACACTGCAAGATTCAGATGTGCCAGCATGACTGGAAACATTCGCATCCGCTCTCCATCCTGTTTAATTGTAACAGGAAAACAAACAAGCTGGTCCAAAGTTCTGAATATCTTCTCAGTTTCTGCAGCTTTGAAACAGATGTGCTGCTAGCGTGGTGATAACCTTTGCTCTTCCCCACAGGGATTTCGAGTCGATCTCCCAATCAAGTCTGCTCGCTACCGTGGGCAATACAGCAGCTACCCCATCAAGCTCTTTTATACCTCCAACATCCCCATCATTCTTCAGTCCGCCTTAGTTTCCAACCTCTATGTTATTTCCCAGATGTTGTCTGTGCGGTTTAGTGGCAACTTCTTGGTAAATTTACTTGGGCAATGGGCAGTAAGTATCCAGCTATTCCTATAATACCACCTTCAAAGTAGCAGTGTTTTACTTTGGGATCTGTAAAGGGTGTCACATTTTCACTGTCTCCTTTCTAGGACGTTAGTGGTGGTGGCCCAGCACGCTCCTATCCTGTTGGAGGTCTCTGCTATTACCTCTCCCCTCCAGAATCCATGGGGGCTATCTTTGAGGATCCGGTCCATGTGATTGTGTATATTATATTTATGTTGGGCTCTTGTGCCTTTTTCTCGAAGACGTGGATTGAAGTGTCTGGATCATCTGCAAAAGATGTAGGTGTCCCCCCCCCCCCGCATCTGTTCTATCCTCTTCAGCAGCTGGGCTCTTGATTCTCACTTGTTTATGCAAAGCCTTGCATCCATTGACACACAGGTATTTTTGCAGGTTGCCAAGCAACTGAAAGAGCAGCAAATGGTAATGAGAGGCCACAGAGATACATCCATGGTTCATGAATTAAATCGGTAAGGGGATAAAAGAGAATCACAACTGGGTTTTCTGTCCAAGCTGTTTTAGCATTTTTCTTTGTTTTTTCCTTGATGAGTGGCGCCAGAGTCTGTTTTCATGCTATTCATTGGTTAGTTCCACCACTTCCAGAAATGATTTGGATTGCTGAAACCAATCCTTAATAGAAACAAATAAGTCTTGAAATAAATAACTCCCGTACATCCAGCAAACGGGTACCAGAAAAGGCAGATTATGTTCCTGTTCTCTTCCCTCCAGCAAGATCAGAAGCGGTCTTAGAAAACACGGATTGACTTATTTCTTGTTCTGAATGGAAATCAAAGGCTTGCAGGATATTTTTATAGCAATAATACACTGGCAAGGACAACTTGGCCATCTTAAGTGTGTATAGAGGAACTTTGACTAGATTCCCTCCTAGGATCAACATCCTGATTTTGATAGTGACCAGCGCATGGCATTTGGATAACTATTGATAATTAACAAAGCAGGAATGAGACATACTGAAGGCTGTAGTTTTTCATTTGCTAGCTATGGAGTAAGTGGACAGAACTCATTAAGTCAGTCTTTTGAGGATTAAAAAAAAACCCTCTTCAATTGGTTTATCCTCTAGTGGAGATAGCACTAGGAAATTTGGGACTTGGGGGAGCATGATGAAAAAATGCAGCTGTTAACTTTACTCATCTGGATCCTTTCTAGAGTGAGTCTCTCTGCTAAATCAAGAAGTACTTGGAATTGAAGGCACGATGACCCGAAGCAAGTAGGTTTCCATTAAAATGAGTTTTGTTTTTGTCCTCCACTTAGGTACATCCCTACTGCAGCTGCCTTCGGAGGGTTGTGTATCGGGGCGCTCTCGGTCTTGGCTGATTTCCTTGGCGCCATCGGCTCCGGCACTGGAATTTTGCTTGCGGTCACCATTATTTATCAGTACTTTGAGATCTTTGTCAAAGAACAGGCAGAAGTTGGAGGCGTAGGTGCTTTATTTTTCTAAACATGCCAATATCAAGTGGCTTGTGAGGAAGGGAATTGTCCTTTGACAACCTTTGAATCCAATAATGCCATTTTTTTTCCTTTTGAACATTTTCAAACATTTTCTCATAACGGGCTTGTGTGCAGCTTCAGAACCAGCTGCCTTAACAATCAAAGTTTACATTGTCTTGGTTAAAATCCAAAAGTCTCTCTCGTGTTGCCTGTAGCGTTGGAAAATGCATCTCCTCTCCTCTCCAACACTAGAGTGAAGATGGCTGGATGGGTGCCCATTTTGTTACTAGTGAACACTTTGCACACTCGGGGGAATTAAAGGTGTCTCCACCCGTTGTACGTCTGACACCCGTTGCAAAGAGTTCTGTGTTGCTCCAAATGAGAACCCTTAGGCTTATTTAAAAAGTATGTCACTTTGTTTCCTTGAAATCTATATTTTACATGAATTACTTTTATACGCTCAAAGAAAAAAACACTCTCCCTTGCACCTTAACACCCTGTTTGGAGTATACATCTCAGCCCCCAGACTCTGAAATTAAGCCAGTGGTGGAAGAGCATTTCAACTGCCTCATTTGCCAGTTTGGATCCATGGAAACTTAAGGGGCAGCAGACCTGGTGAAGCCGATCCAGATTTCTGCCAGCCCGTCAGGCACCATCATGCTGTGGGCCCCAGGGTGTCTTTCAGCCTGCAGTTCTTTCAGGATGGGGGAACAGGGAAGAGACCACGAGCGGCTTGAAACTTCACCCTCATGTCCTTTCTTTCCAAAGTAGACAAAAAAACACAGCCAAGCAAAGAGGTTGTTCTTAAAGGGGTATGGCTTGTGTTGAGAAGAAACAAAGCCCTTATCTTGTCGTGCTTCTTTGCGGCAACGTAGCCAGTGTAAACATTAGACATTAAAGTTATTTAATTAAAACCTCGCCCTTGCTGCTTTTATAAGATGGTTTCCCTGTAACTCTTTGAAGCAAAGCGATGGAGCATGTGCAGGGCTCCCTCTTCCCATTTCCCCCCACAAAGCAACCCTGTGAGGTAGGTTGGGCTGAGAGAGGGATTGGCCCAAAGTCTCCCAGGGAACTTTGTGGCTGAAGGGGAACTGGAACCCAGATCTCCACACTACA